ACTGCCTTGTTAAGTCAGCATTTGGTTCCGGTCAGCATTTGGTTCCGGTCAGCATTTGGTTCCGGTCAGCATTTGGTTCCGGTCAGCATTTGGTTCCGGTCAGCATTCGGAGCCTTTGATTTAGTTAAGTGTTGTCTTGCTATTCAAATTTGCTAGTAGATGGTCGTTTTCCAATCTCAGAGCACCAGCGTCAACTTCTTCTCACGAGATGCTAGCAAAAGCGCCACGTTTCATTTGCACCAAATTTCCAAAGATCACTGTAATAAATCACTTTTTCCCAACTTCTAACCAACTTCTAATCAACTTTTTTCAGTTTTCTACTTCCGAATTTTAGTTCTCACTGTTTTCAATAAGAAAACACATTTAAATACCCATACAGACCTCAAAAACAATCATTTTAGCGTCACCGAAAAAAGTGTAGGGTTTTTGGTGCTTACCCATAAAACTCGACTTTTCAAGATTATAAGATTTATCCGTTAGCATTGCATAAAAACTAAAGTATAAAACAAAAACAATAAGTGACTTAACAAATCCCTCCACAAAAGTAATGTCCCATTTGCAAAGAATTAACAATTTTTACTCAAAATATCAATATTAGGTTGGTCCTCCCTTTGCTTTTATCGCTTCATTGAGTCGATGAGGCATGGAATTCAGGAGATTTTTCAAAAGACTTGGCCCGATGGTGGCCCAAAGACGTTGAACGTGAGCCCATAAGGCGGCCTTCGAATCGAATTTCTTTCCCTTGAGGCGCGACTTCACAAATCACCACAAATCTTCAATTGACCACAAATCCAAACACCACCATTCGGGTGGTGTTTGGACGTCTCAAATGAGCGATGATGCAAATACATTGTCAGGTTAGTTAATAGGCTCTAGCTAGTGCACATTTTGACTGGCCACTTCGCGGAGGTATGTGTATCAAAGTTATAGCTTAGGCAAAGTTAAATTTCAGGTGTTTTGTGTTTTGAAGTCCACTGACCAACCCCTTCAATCACTTACCCTAAATAGGATTTGACGGATGACAAAAATTTTTGACTCTGAAAAAAAACAATGGCTTTAGGCCTACTATGTTCAAACGTGCCGTGTACTTTTCAACGTTCGATTGCTCACACGTTCCAAGTAACAAAACCCTGCTTACCATTTTGTTACAAGTTCACCGTTTCTTTTTATTTGTGAGCCAGTTTAAGCCATTTATCTTGCATGTGTAAATTGTGTAACGAAAGCGACCTACACAACTGAAAGCAATAGAAACACCCCTGGAAACAATCACACAAGGGAACTCTTGACAGAAAAAGGAAAAGATTGTTGTTATGACAATAATTTTTAGCAAATAAAAGCAGGTAAATGGCAAAATAAAGGTAAACAAAATGTGAATTTTGGCATACAAGAAAGAAAAAAGTGGGAAATATTTGAAAGGAAATCACAAAGGCCAACCGAGAGAGCCATGAAAACTCATTAAAGCCGAAAAAATTCTTCAGAAAATCACAATAATGCAATACAGCTACAATCCGAATATAACTATGGATACGATGCGTCAAAATCGAACAAGATGAACCTTGTGTGTTGCCTGTATCTGCCTTGCGTTCTAATTTCACATAGGAGAAATGTTTCGGTCGCGAAGAGACGCCGTAAACTATTCCGTCCCCAAAAAAGAACGAGGTCACGAACAAAGATACCTCAAAATCACAAAAATTCTCGTATAGTTGACAAAAAAAATTAATCACCCTGAACATAGATTTAAACTTGAATAGTTAATGAGCCAAATCATGTGGTTATTAAATTCTACTTTAGAAGAAAACTTGGTGGTTCAGAACAACATACCTTTATCCACATCCCACAGCTTGACCGAGCCATCATAAGAACTTGTTACCAAAAGTCCCGAGTCGAGCAATTGCAATGAAGTGATGGTCGACGTGTGACCATTTACGCCTTGCAGGCGATGAATGCACGAACCACCGTTACGAATGTCCCAAACCTAAAGAAAAGGAAGTAGTTGTCATATGATTGATTAAACGTACCCCAACGTTCCTGTAGGCATAGTAGGAGACCAAAATGTTTCCGCGAAGCTGCATGTCAGAGAAGAACTGATCCTGAATCGAATCAAGAATCGCGATGCATGCTGAAAGAAACAAATATAGAGGAGATTGCAAAAAAAAATAGCGAACAAGTAAAACCCACTTCCACTTCGCACATCCCAGACGCGAATCGTTTCACTATTTCCCGAGACGACAAGATCGCGCTCTGGCTCAAACTAAAATAGAAACCTGATTAAAGCCGAAGATTGACACTTGAACCCACCAAAAGTGAATCGACTCGATTCGTGTGACCCGTCAGCGTGTGCAAACACTCCCCCGTCTGCACATTCCAAACCTTATAGAATATTATAAAATTGTACAAAAAAAAGCATTACAAACCTTTACAGTACAATCATCGGCACCAGACACAACCCGTTTTCCATCAAATTGTACACAACGCACCTGAAATTTAACTTTGCTTAGGCTATAACTTTGATATACATACCTCCCCCAAGTGGCCAGCCAAAATGTGAAGGCATTTCCCGTCGACAATGTCCCAGACTCGGAGCGTTTGATCGCGCGATCCAGAAACAAGACTAAAACATTATGCTTTTAGCTAAAGCACAAAATTTAGATCACTCACGTTGTGCCATGTAGACTTATGCAGGGAACACCACCCGTATGCCCCTGCAGAACATGACGCTGTACACCGGTTTGACCACACCAAACGCGCACCGTTCGATCAGTCGAGCCACTTAAATATTTCAATAGACTTTGTTGTCACAAGTATTTTTGTCTAGAATTTTGTTAGCTTCATTGGCAACACTTATCAATTGCAATAACTAGAGCCTATTAACTAACCTGACAATGTATTTACCATCATCGCTAACTTGAGACGTCAAAACACGACCCATATGGCCAGTTAGAGTGAAAGCCAGCTGAAACAGGACGTAAAATAATGGTAAAACGAAACAAACTTGAGCATCATCAACATTCCAGACCCGCAACTTTTTATCATTATTAGAATCAGCAATGATAAGACCAGAGTGAACTTGTAGACAATTGATCGAATGTTGATCGTGGCTCTGAAAACAATTTTTATAGCCGAAGCATTTGTCCAAACCTTTAGAACAGTGCTTGATTGAATCGGTCGGGATCGCCAATTGGAAATGATTCGCTGCTTCCGCAAGTACAGTGACTTCCATGACGATCGCTCATAACACCTAGAAAAAATTTAATTTAGCAACAAGTTGCGGCACTAACTGTCCATATGCGATCTCGCGTTCTCGTCGATTCTGATGTGCTTCTTGAAGGTTCATATGTGAGAAGATTGTGATTCCCGCTTCCTCATTTGCTCGATTCGCCGACCAGCCTCCGAGAAAACGAAAGCTAAACAAAAATAAGTTAGCGACGTTTTTTTCGCTTTATATCTTTGTTTGCTGTAGAATTAATAACAGTATCATCCAATTCCTTAGAAGTGTTAAAATCTAGTTTAATCTAAATCTATCAGATATGTATTTTTAACTCTTATATTATCTGTTCAAAACTGTAACACACCTTGGCGCATCAAGTTTCACATATCCTTTCTCCAAACATTTCTGTCGCCACGTTCGATCATTTTCACAAATCCGTTGCCACGTCCGCGAAACACCAGCACAAGTCACCAAATCGCGCGGTGTCAAATGGGCGATGATGCGATAAGCAATCTAAAATTAAACAATTAATTCCACAAGCTTTAACAAAAGACAAACCTCCACTGGCAACTGTGACAAGAAATCCTTTTGGAACAATGGATCGATGATATGCCTGAATTTGAAAATTTCACTGTTTAAGGTCATTTTCTTTACTCTTCGCGTCGAGTCTTGCTGCTCTCCGGCTTGTCCGACATCTTCTCTAAATGAAAAATTACAGCATAGATAACACCGTAAATAATGAAAACCCCCGAACAAATTACTACCAACGTAAATACTGTAATAGTACCCGACCCGTGGGTAGACTTGCATAACGATATTATCTATACAAAGGAGAAGTTCATGTTTGAGCCTACGAGTATCTACGGTAGATAAGCCTACTAAAAGAATTGACCAGAATGAATTTTATCGCAAAAAGTCTCTTTAAATACACGAAAAGGGCGCGTTTTAGAACCGGCCATCAAAAGGCCTACGGTAGTATGTACAGAAAACCATATTTTGTGGTTCCACTTTTCATTCCATTGCGCTTTTCAGCGCTTCACCCACAAAATAAGCTTTAGTGCACATTCTCGTAGGTAAGTTTAGGTTTATCGGCAGGATTGAAAAGACGCTGGGATGTTGAAATTGCGGGCGGCGACGATTTACGGGTCGTTAAGCTAAACGGGTCAAAGAGTTTTGCATTCGTCACCTTTAACCGCAAAGCTTGTTTTGTGTTCTAGCACAAAGTTTTCATCGCTAAATTTAATTAACTTGACTATAATTGTAAATGAAGCAAAAGAACACCTTAAAATAGCTTAAAATTCCTTGCTGCCAAAGAAGCACTTCTGCGATGGAGACTGCCGATCGGATGATGGTCGATGACGGGGAAACGAGCGAGGAAATCGTCGTGAGTGATGAGGATCAACACCACGATTGGATACATATGCTCAAGATAAGAGAAGATTTTATTGGAGAAAAGCTTAAGTTAGGCAAACGTCACTTCTTTGTTTTACATTTTGATGGAGCTGCTGCCAACGCTAGTGAGTTTGTTCAAGTGCGTTTTGCTAAATCAATAGTTTTGGTATTTTATCGGTGCGTCAAATTGTTGGCTCAATGTCATTCAAAATGGGTATTCTTCTTATTCCAGTCACTATTGGTGCAAAAAGAATGGGAAGATAACAGGTCTTCAGCTTATAACCATGCTGATTTTGTTTCGGAAGAAGTCCAATCCCTGTCGGATAGATCGGCGATAACCATTGTTGAGAAGGAGTCCCTCAAATAGGTTTCACCTCTAATGGGGGGAACGATCAAAACGGCTAATGCAACCTCTTCAGAGGCAACTCCCCGAAACGATTTTTTCGGGTAAGTACTCTTTGTTTACAAATGCCTTGGTCTTAGCGTTCCTCAGGAGTCTTAGGAGGATCCTTTACTCAGCTTTTATCTGTTTCCTCGCACTCGCATCCACAGCGGCCACTCCCGTCAATCACTTTTTTTCCAAAGAGCCCATCGATCACGCAAAAGTCAGTTTTAGATACTTCCTGCATTAAAAATAATAATTTTCAGAGAGTTCAGCAGTTCTGTCTATGGATTATTACGTGCTTTTTAGGTCTACATATTTTCGCTAGTAAACAGACCGAATCAGATTTTACCAAGAAAATTTTTTTAGAAAGAATAAAAGTTTCCAAAATTATGTCCGCTACTGTAGATACTTCCTACCCTAATCAACTGTGTAACTGCCCACTGCCAAGGTCAAATAACAGAGTACAACTCTGTTAAATCACAAGTGCTTTTTCGCTCGAAATTTCTCAGAACAAAGAAAAATAAGTTTCTTTCCTGATTCCACCAATGACCACAGATTTTCGCGATTCGAACTTTTGTCATCAAAAATCACAATTTTTGGCCTTAATTTCCGCCTCAAATTTCCGACTTGCACCCATAAATCTTCTCCAGATTCGCTAATGCCAATGGATTAAGCTACACACAAGAACTTGACTTGAGGAAATGGCGAGATTTGGGAGGGATCGAGAGAAAGAAAAGAGAAAGAAAAGAGAAAGAAAATGACGTCACTTTTCCAGGATTAAAATTTTTCCAATCGTCTCCTGATAAGAGAGAATTGGGGAAGTGTTCGAAATCTCCGAGAATTTATCTCCCAATCACTTTTCACCTATAAAAGTCGAAATTTCAATCATATTTTTCAAGGGCTACGGTTGGCTTTCTCAAATGGCATCTAAAGCTACCGTAGCCCGCTTTAACCACGCTTTCCTCATCCCTGTGTTTTCTAAATTGTGCAATGGTTATCGGAAACCATCGTTTCTTTTTTGCTGTTAAAACCAGGCTAGTAAACATGCAATACAGTAGTCTTTCCATTTTTAGTCTCCGTACCAATTTTCAGACAATTCTCAAATGAGACTCATTTCCAACATCATTTTCTTTATCTTTTCCATCTTAATCAATGCCTCGATCACTCCCGAACAAGTCCATTTGTCCACGCACGGAGATATGACTGCGATGGCTGTCACGTGGATTACACATCATAAATGTGAGTGTACAGTGGAATACAGTAATCCTTTTTTTCAGACGCTTCTCCCAACACGAAATCCTATGTGATTTACGGGAAAAGCGCGGCGAATTTGGCCTACAAAAATGACACATCAAGGGTGACAGAATGGACGGATAGAGGGAAATCAAAGGTGACGACAAAGCTTGATAGACAAAATTGAATATAATATAGGTTATGGCAGTTTAAATGTGAAAAGTTGCCTTAGAAAAACGTTAGAATATCATGTCTTTATGCCATTTAAAAGAAAATTCTAAAAAAGTAAACTGTGGAACACACGGAAGGACTAAGACGCTACCGACTGCGCCACTACCGCTACTTGTTCACTCCGCTGGTTTCTTGTATAAGTTGCAATGCCAATGGGAATTGAGAGTGAGAGTTTTGGACAATCTTTGATTTCCCATTAGCATCTCAACTCCTGCAAGAAACCAGCCGAGCAACAGGCTGTCGTCGTGGCGGAGTGGGTAGCGCGCTTGTCTACAGCTCACTAGTCCCGTTCGGCTCATGCGGGTTCGAGTCCCGGGTGTTCCACCGACCCCTAATTTTTCAATTTTTATTTAAAATAGCACAGCTACAATATATTCTAAAGAAGATTTAGCATTATTGCTCTTGAGCTTACGGTAGTTTATCGAAATAGATCTGATCTCTTACCCTTCACCTTACTCTACCGTAGTTTTCATTCCGATTTTTTACAGTCCGTTCGCTATACGCATCGGGTTCGAATGACAAATTTGGAGCCGGGCTTGAGATACTGTAAGTGGATAGAATTCTTAGAAAAATGCCTACAGAATACTTGATTTTTTGAAATTAAATGCAAATCTCCCAGATTATCGAGTCGGTTCGGTCGAGGGGCTTTCCACGGAAATCTACTCTTTCCGAATGTTGGATAAACAGGGCAAAAATGGGGTACAAGTTTATTTGTCTTTTTCAAAAACAAATTTTGATTTTATCTTTAGTAGAAGACAGCTTGACATATCGTATCCTGAAAATACCCCAATTTTTGCCCCTTTCAGATCCGAGCCGCTCTCTTTGCAGATTTGGGATTGAAAGAGGCCGGGAAATTGCCTCAAACGATCGCCACTTTGCAGAATTTTACCGAGGAAGGCAAAATCGATATCTTTTTCCATATTGGTGAGTGCCAATTTGATTACCAATAAATTTTTGCTGACTTGGCTGGCTTAGCTTTTAGGCACTGGTGTTGGGTCTCTGATATGGCTTAAAACTTGGCATTTTTCAAGCCAGATCAAATCAAAAGCCTCTGTTTTGTTTTCATTGGTTACTTTCGTTTAATTCGGTCAGTTATAAAGCTAGAAACTTTTGAAGAAATCTAAGAAGAAAGTTGAAAATTCGAGAAAACAGGTTGCGGTGGGTGTGAGTTAGCGGTTGGATTTCGGTGGTAGCTTTTAATTGTTCCCATTGGCTGTTCAATCTGGATTCTAGGCTAAACACCAACTCTGTGCATAAACCTTGACTTTTGTAACCGTAAACTTGCCTCCTTTTGAGGTGATATCGCTTACAATCTTGAGTACGATGACGGCACTTATGAGGATGAATTCATGAAGATCATCGAACCGATCGCCTTCTCGGCCCCCTATATGGTTTTGGCGGGGAATCACGAGAATGAGGACAACGTTTGTGCTTGAAATATTATAAAATTCGAATTCATTCCAATTCAGACATTCAACAATTTCATTCACCGCTTCACCACGCCGATCACCGACAAAGAGGAAAGGGACAATCAGTTTTGGAGGTGAGAAAGAGTAAAAGCTTCACCCATGTCAAGCTTTTTTGTCAAGCAAATTCCTTGTACCGTAGATTAATGAGACTCAATTTAGGGTTACGGTAGCTTTTTTTGAGAAGAGAAGCTTTTAGAGAACTTGCTAAAGCTGAAAAGCTCCTGAAAATGAACTTGGACTTAGTGCGAAGGCTAGCGGCTAGCGCCTCGCACTAAGTCTATTTGGATTTGGGCTTAACTTTGACTTTGAGCAGTTTCGAGTGAATTTTCCTATAATAAAATTTAGCTTCGATGTTGGCGATGTGCATTTCGTCGGGATGAGCTCGGAATATCATCAATATCGAATGTACAAACAAGCACAGGATATGGTCGATTGGCTGAAGAGTGATCTGTCCAAGGTGGGGAAAATCTAGCTTTTACCAGCTTTAGCGAGAATTTTGGTGCAAAATTGACCAGCACGGTCAGCGAAATCAAAGATTTCTTTGATAAGCAAAGCCTTAAAAACATTGTATCTATAATATTCTGCTCAATTCCTAGACGACCAAGCCGTGGATCGTCTCAATGATGCATCGGCCAATGTATTGCTCGGCCCATTGTGATACTTTTGAGAATATGGTGGTGAGTGGAGTCAAAACACGGGAAGGAGGGGGGGGGGCGGGAAACTACGTAACGGCGTGGTTTTGGACCAAATCCATTTTTTTAATTTATTTTTTATTAATAACCTTGTCGGCTTTCATTTTTCGGGCTGTTTTACTGAAAATTGGCTTTGGTTACGGTAGTTTTCTGTGCTTTTTAGGAAATGGAATAGCCAAGAGCACCTGATTGTCTAAATTCCTTTAAATCTCTTGCAAACATCTCTCAAAAACCATATGAAGGCTAAAATCTAAAGCATTTTTACCCAATTTCCAGTTGCGCAAGGGCTCCGGCTCTGGCAAAGAAGAACTGCCCGCCATTGAGCCATGGTTGGGCAAGAATGGAGTCGATTTGGTGTACACAGGACACAAACATTACTACGAAAGGTTGGGAAATGGATTCGAATATAATAAAAGACTTTTCAAGAATGTACCCGATCTACGGTGGAGTGATGTCGATGGTGAAAGATCCGAGGAATATCCACAACCCTCAAGCACCCATTCACGTGTTGTCCGGATCGGCGGTATGAGGAATTTTGTGTAATTGGGATTGTTTGAACTAGAAAATTTGATATCCTTTCTAAAGCACAGTCCCCCGGCGCATCACTAGAGTGTTTGGCCAAGCTAAAAGACCCCGAAACTATCGTAATTAAACAGCTAGTTTACATTTGGATTACCCCCAAGAGTCTTGATATCGATAGTGACCTAAATTCGGCTCTTTTATAGCCAAATTTTGGGTTTATAGCGAAAAAAGATGGTCTTTTGTCGAGGTGTTTAGAGTGGTAGCCGAGAAGAGCGTTTACACGGTCTCTCACACTCGGTTTACGGTGTGGCGGAGTGGCCGAGTGGTTAGGGGTCTAAGCTCGAAGCCTGTTGCTCGCTAGTTCCAGGCTGCCCCCGGCCCTTTTTTTCTGCTTTTTAAGTTGATTCTGGTTTTTTGTCATGTCTTAGCCATAAAAGGTAAAGATAACGAAACTTTATTCAAAACTAATAAAGAAGAAAAAAATTAAAAAGTTTTTTTGTTTTTTTGTTGTTTTTTTTTTAAAAGAAAGGAGCGAAGGGGGGGGGGGGGGGGGGGGTATTTAAGGGGGGGGTTTTTTAGATTTTTTTTTTTTTTTTTTTTTTCCTGGCAGAGAACTTCTTATTTTGTGATGCTTTTTGTAATTTGGAAATCGATCTGAGATCTGAGTCGTGAGCATTCAACTCTTTTTTTAAATCAAAGTTTTTCATCAGTGAGTCAAAAATCCACAAGCCAAGCTGAGTTCCTGGCTTTGAGTGTGGAAATTTGGGTGTGAAAGCCAGCCGTGGTTTGAATCATTCGAAAAAAAAACTTGAATACAAATTTCCAGGGTTGTCACACGCACATCCCGGCCAGTGACATCAAGAGACTCCCCTACAGTGCTTATCTCAGCGATATGTACGGATTCTCGTGTGAGTCTCTTTGGCTTAAGATCTTTAAGGGCTTTTTCCCGATTTGTTACCGTAATCCCTCGCTTTATATGTGTCGTAGGCGATTATGATTTTGAGAATGAGTGGGTCTAGGCGGGTCCAGCCATCAAGTATTTGGTCTCATTCAACGCAGAATCATTGATAATTATGTTAAATTTGGTAATTTCCTATAATGTCCCCACAGCATCAATCCCATTATGCTCCCACACGCATCATTCCCTTTATACCGGTTTCCCATTTAAAAAAATGAACAATTAACAACATTCAATCCCATTATACCCCACAAATGGCAGGTTTTAAAAAAAAGCTTTTCTAATTTTCTAACTACAATCCACATTTCATAATGACACCCAATAAATTCACAATTCAATTTTTGGAGGCCATTTTGCAGGCCATCCTTTCACGAACCCAATCAAAGTAATCGATCTTTCCCAATTCAGTTCTGACCATGCATTCCGCAAGGTAGCTTTCCAAATGATGACGTGGTGTACGGCGGTGCTTCTTATTCCGCCACTTTGCGCTTCCCCATAGTCGCTCGATAGTTTGTGTGTGAATAGAAGGGTTCGTTGAATGAAGAAAGTTCTTCGAGTTCTTCTTTGGGAAAAACATCATTCGGATAAATGCTAATTTTTTTAAATGTGGGGTTATAAGGGATTGATGCTGTAGGGGTGTAACGAGAATGATGCTGTGGAGGTATAATGGGGTTCATGCTGTGGGGATATAATGGGAGAGTACCTTAAATCTTTTAAATTAGAGAGATTAGATAAAACGAAAGAAAATTACGACGCTTCAAAGTTTTCTCTCAAACAAACAGTTTTTTGGTCTAATTTTTTTTCTTCTTATCAAATCTGCTAATTTAAAAAATTTAAGATAATTATCAATGATTCTGCGTTGAATGATACTAAATAATTGGTGGTTGGACGCGCCTAGATCCACTCATTCAAAATCGGCCGAAATTCATAATCGGCTACGGGGGTCCCGCCGATTTTGAATGAAACGTTGTAGTGACCGCAATTTCTAACCTAAACTCACAAATTTGGTACGAATCTATGCAGAATTTAATTAGCTACAAAAAGATATAATATTGTCTTTATAAATCAAAAGTTTGACCTACTAGAAAGATTTACCAAAAAAATCACATTCATAATCAGCTAGGACAAATGCAAATTTAGTGCATTTTTTAGTGCTCAACGTGCACAATGCCACCCACGTTTTCTCGTCGTTTATCCACGCTGAAACGGGGAATGCCCACGATGAAACGTGGATTTCGAAAGATAAAGGATATCGGCCGAGAATTGGATAAAATTGGGGAAAGGAAATGCGAATAAATACTGGAATAAACAAGAAAATAAAAGAAAAGAAACAAGAGTGAAAACTTTAGCTGTGAAAGCACATAGACAAAAATAAGAGTCTTTTTGGATCTTTTGCAAAAACTACCCGCAAATATAACGATAGAAATATCGAGGAAACTCAAAGGTGAAAAGCTCTCAATTAATATCATTCCAATGGATCACCAAAAGAGTTATCCCGGCCGCCGGAATGCCAATTGTGAAAATAATCCCCGACACCAGAAACCAAAGCCATTTCCTCGATTCCGGATTGTTTTTTAGGGTTTTGTACGCGAAATAGAGCAGGAAGAGGCCTAAAAGCAAAGATTTCTTTTTTTACTACATTCAAATGCAAATATCTATTGATTTTATTCAATATAAAACTTTCGAGTAATAATACCAGTAACAGTATTGTTACAACATCCCATTTTCCTCAGCCTCAGGCTCCGAATTAGTGATTTTTGATAGGATTTAGTGGCTTTTGATTCTTTGTCTTTGACGTTTTTGCTTTTATAACTTGAATTTTTCTTTTTCTTGATTTAATTTTTGTTTTTATGAATGAGGCAGCGAATTTTCTATTGCCGAATCGATCAGATCAGATCAAAATTCCAACTTTCCGATGAGGCATTTCGTCGCCGATATCACTTTACATATCAAGGCTTTGTCTGCCTTGTACAATTCATGAGCCCATTCTTGTGACAAGGGTATTCGAAGAAGCTTTCACTTTCGAGTTGCTGTGAGGCTTCGATATTTGGCGAGCAATTCGTTTCAAAATGTGATCGCTGATCTCTTGGAATCTCTCAGCAGACCGTTTCACGACTTCTCCACAAAGCGACCAATGTTTAATTTGATTTGATTAATAATAAGACGGCGATTTGATTAATAATAAGATCTACACCGGGGACTCTGGATGTGGTTTATTTGGCACGATAATCACAATACGACACACACAATACTAGGCGATATCATAACTTGACCCACTCCTACATTCTCGGCGGCTCCCTAATCCCTACTCTTATTGGATGCTCCTAGATAGCTTCTTCTTGGCGGTGAAGACGAGGCGAAGACGGCTGGATAGGCTTCTCGTATTAAGGATCTGGGCCATAAGCCGATCCACCGGGAGGCGGAATCAAGCCCAGGTCTCCAATTCCAGAGACAGTCACACCGGTTTTGCGCCACCCCGGCGCTGGGGGGAAAAGAGGCTAATAACTTTCGTTTTGAAAATCCGATCAAACTCTGCTCCCCCTTCCATGTCAATCTAAGTTATTTACTGTTTTCCGTTGAATCACAGAGCTCACAAAGCAAACAAAAAACACAAACTGATCAACGTCTCGCAAAAGAAGGTTCAAAAAATAAAGTTCAAAGTGTGACTTATCAGAGTGAGACTTATCAGTGTGACCGGATCGATGTGTTATTTCTTTGGCCAAAAATGGAAATGGGGCAAACTGAATGATTCTGATTCTGAGAGCACAAAGAGTTAAATATTTTTTCAGATTTTTAGAGAAATTGATTCAGCCAATTTCTTTATAGAGGTTTTTATAGATTTTTATGAAAAACCCGTTTTCACTCTCGAATTTGCTTGAAAGTGAACCCAAATTGACTTAAAAAGATGGGAAATTGAACAATAAACACTTTTCATTTAGAGCAAACCATATGTTAATTGATGACTTTGTTATTTTTCAAAAGAAGTACGAAAAAAATGAAAAAGACTTTTGCATCAACCTAATACTTCCTTTTCTTTAGGTTTGGGACATTCGTGACGGTGGTTCATGCATTATGCATTATGCATGGTTCATGCATTCAGGCGCAAATGGTCACACGTCATTCATCACTTCCTTGCAAATGCTCGACTCGGGACTTTTGGTGACAAGTTCGGATGGTGGTTCGGTCAGGCTTTGGGATGTGGATAAAGATAAGTTACTCTAAATTACCTAGTAATGTAGGCTACAAGATAAGCAAATTTGTCCAGACTTCGAGTTTTCTTCTAAAGTAGAATTTATTGGCTTGGCTCGTTAACTATTCAAGCTTAAATTTATGTTGAGGTTTAGTATTCTGTTGTTGATTTTTTCCAATTTCAGGTATTTTCGTCCGTGTCCTCGTTCGTCTTCAATCGGGTGGATCTGGCCGTCGCATTTGGTCTTAAAGCCACCGAAACATTGCTCGTCCGTGCAGTTGGATCGCGAAACGGAACCGAGGACACAAAGCTCATCTTGATCGATTTTGATGCATCGTATCCATAGGCATATTCGGATTTTTGCTCTTTCCCCTTAGACCTTATTGTGATTTTCTGAAGAATTTTTTCGATTCTTCAGTTCTGCTGAGATTTCATTGCTCTATCGGTTAGCGCTTGTGATTTCGTTTCAAATGTTTCCCACATTTTACACGCTTTCTTCTATGTCAAAGACTTCATATTGTTAACGTTTTTTTTCCTTTAACCTGCTTTTATTTGCTAACAATTATTCTCATAACAAGGGTCATTTCCTTTTGTGTCGAGAGTTTTCTTGTGTGATTGTTTCCCGAGGTGTTTGTGTTGCTTTAAATTGTGTCTTTTTTCATTAACTATATGACAAGATAAATAGCTTAAACTTACTCACAAATAAAAAGAAACAGGCTAAACTTTTAAACTTTTTATTACAAAGAGTAAAAAGCCGAATCGGTGACGCAAAAACGATTGTTTTTGAGATTTTAATGGTAGGTAAATGTGTTTTCTTATTGAAAACAGTGAGAACTAAAATTGTGAAGTGGAAAACTGAAAAAAAAGTGATTTTTTTAAAGTGATTTTTAAAAAACCCGCCTTA